CTCTTCCTCCTCGGTCCAATAAAAGTGTCCTTTAGCTCTCCTCACCTTTCTCACTCCCTCTCTCCGTGTCCCTTTGCTCCTCTGCTGGCCCCCTCCCTCTCTCCCCCCTCCATCTATAATTGTTTATCCCGTCCTCCATCACCAGCGTTTCACCCTCATTAGCACACACCCCTGCACCTCCGCTCATTATTTTATGAGGTGTAATCAGCTTTGGAGGAATTCGGTAGTAGTAAAATGGCGTGTGATGGGGTATAGTGATATAACATCAGCTCCATAAAGCGTGCACTATATTTAGAGTCGGAGTCACTGGAAGGGTGAAGGCTATGTAAATCACAGGGTCAATGCTAAACTAAAGCAACCTGCATATTTAAGTGTGGCAGTGCTTTTTAATTAGGAAAAGGCCGCAGTGAAAGTGTTAATAAGAAGGTAACCGAGATGTCACGGACAGTGGATGAGGAAGAATTATAATTAATATTATGCATGTTACTCTGCATATACTAGTATTATTGTCCTTAACACATGATGGAGAATGCAGAATTTACAATACTCTTTGTCCACTGGGAATATGAGTTAACAGAGGGTTGCTTTAACTCATCTCTGAGACACTAAAAATATACTTGAAATTAGTGCTATGACAATTTTCATTATAAGTATAAGTTGTATTTGGAGTGATCTTTAATCACTTTTTTAAATCAAACGGCATATTGCAGATCAACTCTGTTTTCACTGCCATTGGCAAACACCCATTGTCCTCCTCTTACTTCATCATCCAGTTTTATTTTCTTAATTGATGATACACATATGATTAGTTTTGGCACAAATGAAAAAAAATCTGCTACTCGCTAGTGTGACCTGCTGCTTATCAGTTGGAGTTGCCAAGTCTTCTGTGATGATGTTTACTGCGACGTCAGCTCCCACTGGGCACCGCCCATTTTCTAACATGGAAGTCAGTGGACTTGTTTCTTTTATTGAGTTGTTTTAGATGAATATTGTGATCTAAAATGTACAAATTATAACATCATGATCCACAGGTATCATAGATAATTATATAGCAAGCTCAAGCACAATATGTCTCTTTTAAAATGCATTCTGTTCTGAATAATATGAGCATATACAGCCTTACCTACCAATGGAGGAAACCCACTTCTCAGGGGCTTTTAACATGTTACTTATAAATCATTGTCTTTTCCTTGACATTTCTTACAATGTTTTTTTTTTTCAATTATAACCCAGATAGTCATGACTGTGATTATTTTTCAGAATCAAGCAATCATACTTGAAATATTGTGAAGTCTATTGCAATGTGGATATTTTCGAGTCATCGCTTGCTGACGCTGACACTAAACCTTACACAACCCCATTCCAGACATCACAAACAAACCCTCAGAGACCCAGGTTGTCGCTTTTTATAATGCATGAAATAGAAAAAGTAAAGGGCTCAACATTTCGAGACCCTCACGGCAATACAAAACACCTCATTCCCTCCGAGAGTAGTAGGATCAAACAGAGCATGTTGGAGCGTGACGCGTGTCTTGGAGCTGTCCCTCTGTTTGGGCACTCTGAGCATTACGCTGTCTGTCACATATGTCTCCTTCACTCCTCCTCTACGCCTCCAAAATGTGACTTGTGCCTCACAACGTCTGCCCACTGCAACATTAAGTCATAGACACTTGTTAGACAGCTTCAGACATGGTTCACTTTGATGGGCAGAGGTTTGGAGAAGTCTTGTTTTGAGTGTTTTAAAGTAACACAGTGAAACTTTTGAGTTGTGTTCTGTCTTCGCCTCCGGTTGACAAGAGGCCAGAAAGATCATTTTTGACTATACAGCAAAAGTAGTTGATGTAATGTCTGACGAGTGCAACCCAGTGTCCCTAGAATGTATGCCTTTTGGATTGGCTTGGGTTTTTGAGACAAGTCAGACAGGCTAAGGAAAGATGGACTTACAGTATTTACAATGAAACTTTTTTCCTAACTAGCACAAAGAAGTTCCTTGCAATCAAAACAACAAAGAAAGGAACAAGCTAAATAATTAAATATGAAGATTTGAAGGGCTTTCTGACTGGCCAGTGCAGCCAGAAATAGGAGGGATACAAAACAGATGGCAAATGTAAGAATAACAAAGAGCCCTGTGTAACTTTCATCTGTCTGGCCAACAATGTTACTCATTACATGCATTTAATCTTTTTTTATCTTTCTTTATTAATTACTACAATTTATAGTTAAGGATGCATCTCTTATTGGATACTGTTTTCATTTTTGTTTATTTGGGTTTTTTTTTTTTTTTTGGATATTGGTTCAGTCAAGATCCTGGATGGCCATATAAATTGATGCAATAATACCGTTACTGCTAGTATTTCACCCAGAAAGTCTCAGAATGTTTGAACTTTTATTTATACAGAGTTGTTCTGTAATTTCCTGAGAGATAAATAGCAGTTAAATAACACATTGCAATCAGTTTTTATGTTATTTTATTTTTACTTAAAAGAAATGAACGCTATATTTAGTTTCTGCATGGGTAACGGTCAGGTATGCAGCACAGAGGTACAGAAGACAACTCCTTATTTAGGCAAATACTTAAAGCTGTTGTATCAAAAACGGTATTGGAAATATGTTAATGTTATCTACTTGACTTCATGAAGATAGATATGTTTAATACCATACTGTGGAACATTCCATTCAATGCAATACCATGTCCCTTATGCATACACTGTAAATGTTAACTTGAAGGGCCTCTCTTGTAAAATGTTTGGACAAACTGTACAAGAGCATGGTACAGAGTGAATAGAACATGACGTGTAAGTGTTTGAGATATTTGGCAACATAGTGCAAACTGGAGATGCCTTGTTCTTATTTAGGTCATTCGCATGCAGCCCGTACATAGCTCACTGTCAATCATTCACTTGCATCGGTTTTGTGGCCTCTGTATGCACACACATGCACATGCAATTATTACACAGGTCTGGAGGGACAAGGAGCTATGAGTCACAGCCAAGCCCCCTTCTCTGCGCTCCCACCCCTTCCCAATAGCCATTAATTTCACTCACACATCTACACACACACTCGCACACACACGGTGGTTATCTCCACTGAGACGTAAGTGACAGATCTATTGGCTGTGAGGGCATGAGGTGGAATTGATAGAGAGATGGAGTGAGAAAGGAATAGCCCAGAAGAACGCCGGAGTGAAATTAAACCTTATGGAAAAGTTGCCGTAAAGAAGGTCTGGGAAACACATTAGAATGGGGTTCTATGAGGAGATAACAAAGAAAAGTTGGTCAGTATTTTGGAGTAACAGACAGGAGCGATGGCACACACTTTGTGTTTGTCTTACTGTTAGGACAAGTGAAAATAAGTCCCATGTCCCAATAGAACAAGGACAAGAAAACAAGGAGAACAAATCATCAAAAAATAAAACAACTTAGTCTATCTCCTACAATCTATCTCCAGGGAGTATCCAGCCTTTGGCCATAGTTTCTAGGGACAGACAAATAATTAAACTGTTATTGCTATGTAAGTTGTAATACTCTTTTAGATTTGGTTAAGTAATTCAGATGTACTTTATTGGATATTAGATATATCCAATAAAGTACATCTGAAATACAAACTTACTATACTCACTATATGACCTTGGGGAAGTGGCACATCACCTGCATGATATGCTTTTTTGTTATTTGTGGGTAGCATTTGAAATTAATAGTAGTAGTAGTAGTAGTAGTAGTAGTAGCAGTAGTAGTAGTAGCAGTAGTAGTAGTAGCAGCAGTAATAGCAGCAGTAGTAGTAGTAGTAGTAGTGGTAGTAGTAGTAGTAGTAGTAGCAGCAGTAGTAGCAGCAGCAGTAGTGGTAGTAGTAGTAGTAGTAGTAGTAGTAGTAGTAGTAGTAGTAGTAGTAGTAGCAGCAGCAGTAGTAGCAGCAGTAGTAGTAGTAGTAGTAGTAGTAGTAGTAGTCATAGTAGTAGCAGCAGCAGTAGTAGCAGTAGAAGTAGTAGCTGTAGTAATAGTAGTAGTAGTAGTAGCAGCAGCAGTAATAGTAGTAGCAGTAGTAGTAATAGTAGCAGTAGCAGCAGCAGCAGTAGTGGTGGTAGTAATAATAGCAGTAGTAGTAGTAATAGTAGTAGTAGTGGTAGTAGTAGTAGTGGTGGTGGTGGTGTTATAAGCAGGGGTGGTAGGATGACTCACAGTCAGTGTTGTACTTGCCACACGAGCAGATGATAGAACAGTGATTGATATGCAGCACAGAGGTACTTATTACAGCAGTTGCATAACCAAGAGGAACAAAACAACAGTAATATCAGGGTGTCACGCGAGAGTTGACGATTTGGTTTAACAAGTATGCACTTTAGGTTTTTAAACAGTGTATATAAGCCTGTAAACTGTATGTACTAGATTGTACCTTATGTAACTATGTTTGAGTTTGGACATACCACACATTGCTTCTTTTGCTGAGTGCAAAGAGGTAAGACAAATTATAAGCTCATGAGAGGGGTTTTCTCTCTGCCAGTGATTATGATGGCTCCCGGTCTTAATGAGGCCATATGCAATAAATGTTTACTTGGAAAGACTGGCCGGTTACTTAATAATCTATATACAATTTAAAGATGCAGCACTTACACAAATTATGAACCTTTTGTGTATTGCTCAAGGAATGCTTTTGCTTGTGTGCTTTTGAAACTGCAAGCTGACACTGGTCGAGATTGATCATTACATTTTCTAGATGTAGTTTATTCTTAAATTTTTTTCTGTTGGGAATTTATCTCAAATTTGTTTTATCAACACTATTCCTTTTTTATGCTTTTATTTTTCACATCAGCTGGACTTTATTTGGATATGGGTTATGCAATTTAATATGTAACAGACTACAGTTGTTATCTTATTTAAGAACTTGTGTAACCTCCTCATTACTTGTACCTAATTAATACAGCCTTTAGTCTGAGCAAAATCTTTTATGCAAATTTGTTTCACGTAACATAACTATTAGTTTATTTGAAAACAATCTTGCCCTACCTTACAGCCCTTGCTCTTGTCCACGCTGGTCTGGGTGGAGGCGGAGCAGTGACAGGTGGGCTCGGGGTGATAGTAGAGACCACCCTGCAGACCGGAGCTGTGGCAGCACCCATAGGGAGAAGGGAAGTGGGTGTACCAGAGCTCATCAGACAGGGGGCACTTTGAGCAGGGGTACAGCAGACCTTTCCCCTGGGCCTTCTCAACACTCACTTTGGGGTTCCGCATCCATCTCCGCACCTGTGAGACAAAAACAAAAACTTTTCTTCAGGGATGGTCCAATAAGGATTTTTTTAGCTGATAGCATTGTCCAATATTTGACCTGCTGCTGTGGACATTAAAATTCATAGCAAGGACCAAATATTTATGATAATTTAGTTAAAAGTGCATTGTGTAACTCTTCTGGTATAGGGTCTGTCAAATGTTTCTCTCCATGGAGATGTTATTGATTTGTCTAGAGTTTCACAGTATGGAGACCAAACCAGACCAAGTTACAGGCCAGATCTGTGGAGAGGATTGATTGAAAAAAGTAGATATGTTTAATGTCATACTGTGGGACAGAGCAGTTATCCATAAAAACAAACAGGTGATGGGAAAAAAATTACATAGTGCATCTTTAATTTGCAAATTATCTTTTCACTTTTCCAAAAAAAAATAAAAAAAATAAATAAATAAATAAATAACTGGACCCCCTCTATAGATTCCTTTACTATTATGTTTATGTTATTAAAGTGCATCTTGGGTAGTATGGAGCTTTACATTGCTGGCAGCTGCAGCCTTTGATCAGGGTTTGGCTCATGAACCTGATTACATGTCTATTCAAGTGGAAGCGAGCCAGAGACACACAAGAGTACTTCAAAGAGCCAAGTTTGATCACGAAATGAAATCAGAAAAGGAGCTCAAATGCACCATGCACCTGTCACACAATGAAGATTAATAAAGTTATTTTATGTATGTCAAACTAATTAGTAATTAGTATTCTAATGAATGACAGCAGTTAAAAATATGTAGCTCTACTCACACAGAGTACATTTACTACCAGTGAGCTTTGAAAAACAGTCACCACACATAGCAATGTTACAAATCATCGATTATGGCTTCTGAACTGAAAGTATTCAGTCTGAGGGTTTAAGCCACAGCTATTGAATTGATGAGACTTTGACCATGACTACTAAGAAATACATTAAAATTTAAGCTTGAGCAAAGTTTCCACAGTCATTTTTAAAACAGTGATTTGGCACCTGAAGTTTTTATGTCAGATGCCCTTTCCTACAGTCACACAGACATGGGAATCATGACTTATAAGGTAAACTGGTTTATGTCATCTGCAGGCATTTAGCATAAAACATCTGACATATTTCTCAAGACATTTATTTACAAAAAACAGTGTAATATGTAAATGACAAAACAATATTATGTTATATTATATGTGTAAACTAAAACCTAAATACCCAGCTACTGATTAACACTAAAACTAGTACTGAAACTAGATGCTCATTAGAAGTACAATAGTGAAACAAATCATACACTGGAATTTTAGAATGGTATTATTAGTTATTACATATTACACTATTTTCTGATCTCTGCTACAATGTTGTTTCCTCATCACAAATGTACCTGGAGATGTGATTTGTTCCACTTTGTTCCACCTTGTGATGTCATGTGGTTCCACTGTGTTTTTAAATTCCATACACCTTCACTAGAATCATTTAGATAAGTTAACCCCTGCAATTGCCAATCTCTAAATTGAACTAAAGGTAAAGGTAAAAGTTGTTAACTTGAAAACCACCACTTCATGACAGCACAAGGTGGAACAGAGCATTTTGAGCTTTGGAGATGTAGACAGACTAATAATAAAGGGTTACTTTAACATGTGTGAATGAATCAAAGCACAACTCCAGGTATGTTTTTGATGAGGTAAGAACATTATAACATCACTTAAAGCTCACCTTTAATATTATTTGCTATGAAAATCACTTTGTGTTGTATGAAAAAAATGTGTTTTTCCAATCACTCACTGTGATATAAAATGTTTCGTTATGATCCAATAATTTATATATTTTGATCTTGTGACAGTACTAGTAAAAACATGCATAAACTGTCTTTAAATCATCCCAAAGCAGCCCTGGCTAAGTCTTTCCAGAGCTGCCCCTGGTCCCCTGTATAATAACTACACACAGTGGCCGGTGGAAAATGCAAGCCATAAGGAGCAGCCTCATGTCGTCCCTGTCCCGCTGTGAGGGGTGAACGCTCCGTAAACACATTCTACAGGGCAGCAGCAGCCTGTCTGACCGCGGCCTGGACAGACAGCTGCTCCCACCACCACAGGAGAGACAAGGAGCCAAACGCCAAGTCTAAACATGTAGGAAAAACAGAGCACAAAAACAACCCACAACTACTGCTAGTCATTCACTGAGTTTACATGCATAGAGAAGTCTGAGTGTGCTAAATTCAAATTGTCTTTGTCCCAAAACCAGACCACTCTTGTACTTGTCTCTTTGAATCATTCTCTTTCTCTTTGAATCCAGAAGGGACTGGAACTGGAAAATAGTAACATTTAAAACAAAATATATAAACTTCCAATACCTGAAATAAATAACAATTTTGTGCTTTGATTGTTAATTCTGTAAAAAATCTGCAGATTCTCAATATTTCATGTTGTTTTTCCCCTTTTTTACATGCATCTATCTGATTGGTTGGCGCCTGTCAATCACGGCCTCTGAAATTCATGAGACAGGATCCGCTTCAAGATCCACTTATCTTTATGAAGTTTTGTCAAAACGTGTGGTTCAGGTTGGTCAGATAACACTTGTCCCTGTCTACATACAGATAAAATAACCCAATAGCCCAATCAATGCATGACTAAGAGTAGTTCAGATGAATCTAGTAACTCACTAAAACATTATAGTTATAATTAATAATAAAATCATACATGTAACCACACTTTTGGAGGACATACACTACATAGATAAGCAACATCACAGTTACATTGAGCATTTTAAGGATCAAGCGAGACTGGCCATTTGAGAGCGGCTTGAGTACAAATCCATGGATTAAAGGGACATATGTGATGATGTAACTAGTGATCACGGGCAGGATAAAAAGAAAAAAAAGCTGAACATGATCTATTTTGACTGCCATTACCAGGCAAATCAATACAGCATTTTAGCACTAGACAAACTGGAGCATGCTTCTTTACAGTGAGAGCCAGTGTTGGACTTGATGGTTGTCCCCGAATGGCAGAAATGTATTTTAAAGGGCCTATATTATGCTATTTTCTCATCTATGTTATAATGTTGTTTCCTCATCAGAAATATATCTTAATGTGTTTTGCTTCATTCATATATTTTTACAACACAAACTCTGCATATTTAAGCTCAATTCTTCTCTCAAACAGAAAACACTCTCATCAAAACTCCACATTGTGATGCCATTGTGTTTTTAAACTCCTGATCACAGCTAGATGGAACAGGCTTCTTGGGCACGGCTGCAATGCAGGAGGCCTTCCATAGCACCAGTATCCTTTCAAGCTTCAGACTTTCTCTTCACGCTGAGTGTGAATCTTGAAAGGATATTGGTTATATGGAAGACCTTTTGCATTGTGCCAGTGTCCAAGAAGCCTATTCTCTCTGGACTTAATGACTTCAGACCAGTTGCTTTGATGTCTCATGTCATGAAAGTGTTTGAGAGACTTGTTCTGGCTCAGTTCATACCCCTGGTGGCACCACCTTCTACAATTTGCCTATCAGTGCCATTTAGGTGTGGATGATGCAGTAATCTATCTTCTTCAGCAGGGTCACTCACACCTTAATAGTGTTAAGGCCTCTGTGAGGATATTGTGTTTTTTTTTATTTCTCCAGTGCCTTTAACACAGTCCAGCCATTTCTGATGAGTGATAAGATGCTCAGGATGGGTGTCAGCTGCTCCATTGTCTTCTGGATTACTGACTACCTGTCAGGCAGGTCTCGGTACGTGCGACTAGGGACCACCCTGTCTGATACTGTGGTCAGTAATGGAGCCCCCCAGGGAACAGTCCTGTCTCTGTTTCTATTCACTCTATTCACCTCTGATGTCTAGTACAGCTCCGGGTCCTGCCATCTGCAGAAGTTCTCTGAAGACTCTGCAGTGGTAGGGTGCATCAGAGATGGACAGGAGCTCTTGTATATAGCTGAGATTTTATTATTTATTTTTCTATTTTATTTTGACTTGAACATTTATATTTATAAAATTATACCTTATTTGACACCTGTCTCTTGCTATTTTTGCAACTTATTTAGAATTTATTATTACCATTTGTATTTTTTACTTTTTTTGTTACTATATTGTGATGTGTGAGTTAGTGTGTCCAAATAATTTCCCGTGTGGATCAATAAAGTTTGTCTAAGTCTAAGTCTAAGTCTTGCCAATCACAAGGTGGAATGGAGCATTTTGAGCTTTGGAGATGTAGAAAGACTAACAATGAAGGGTTACTCAAAAACATGTGTGAATGTAACAAACTACAACTCCGAGTATGTTTTTGATGATGTTACAGTATTATAACATGGCTTAAAGCTCACAAGAGTCAATTCTATGTACTATAGGACCTTTAAGTCGATGTTTTTTCTAATGTGATTGGAGGTTTGGACTGCCACAGCTCTAATAAACAATACACAATAGAAAAACTTCATGAAACATTTACAGTTAACTATACCAGAGATACACAAACATGGCTGCCAAAAGAGATATTGGTATTAAAGTGATACTGGGTCATTAGTTATTAACCACTGCTTGAAAAAGCTGCATTGTTGCACCTTGGTTGAAATTCTCTGGTTTTACATAAGCCACCAAAAGAGCAGAACAGCTTTTTACACAATTATATCTTACAGGTTGGCCTATCTCATCTGATAAAAAAAACAACACACAAATATAAGTTTTCTATGGCCCACTCAATCTCACACACATTCATTGATTTTCTATTCACTTCCTGTTCTGCCTCATAGTCCTGTACAGTCTCTCATTATGAGATTAGAATTATTGAGAAACAAACACAGGGACAAATAAAGTGGCCACCAACAGCAGCGGTTGCAGCAGCAGCAGCAGTGGGTATTCTTTTCCATTGGGGCAGTGTGCTGATGCAGAAGCTCCCCATTAGATCTGCCATGTGAATGTGCAGTGTGCTTTTTGCAGTTTAAGCACAGTGTATGCTAATGTCAACATCTCTGCTGAGGACGCAGGCGTGTCAAAACAAAATGGGAAAGACTGGTGGTTATTGCATTATTGGAAAGCCTGTATAAAAGCCAAGTTAGATATATATGTTTACTATCTGGACCTTATTTTCGTGATTTCAAGTTGGAATTATTATTCCTCTGTGTATGCATAATATATAGATCAATGATGTACTTGAAATAACTGAAGTTGTAATGTTGGTGGTATTCAAAGGTAGCCAGGATGGCGCCACCTAGTGCCTCCGATCGATTTCATTTCTTTCCAGCAACTAGGTCAGGAATCAAAATACAACAGACGGTTCGCAAAAACCCCGGAAGTGCAAGTTCGGGCACCAGCCAATCAGCGAAGATCCATATATTCAGTGTTGTCAATGATTTTCGAGGATTTAAAGCCAAAAAAAAAAGAATGTTTGGTGAATTTCATCAAGGGGAAAGATGTTATTGCCCTTCTTCCTACGGGATTTGGGAAAAGCTTAATATACCAGTTAGCCCCATTTACAGCGCATTACTTACGTGACTACCAAATAGCAGTGACTGTTTAAATTATAAAAGTACCCGCCTACTGTCGAGCCAACAAATTCTAACATTGCAAGGTCAGATGGTTTCCATGATGTGAAACCAGCTGATGAAACAGGCTAGTTCAAAGCGCCCATATTATGTTATTTTTCTGATTTCCTCATCACAAACATACATGGAGTTGCGTTTTGTTTCATTCACAGATGCTTAACACACAAACCCTGCATATTTAGACCAAGATCTCTGTTCCACCTTGTGATGTCATGTGGGAACACAGGAAGTGCTCCATTCTGTTTTTAATCTTTATATACTTTCAGATCTGGAACTGGCTACTGAATCAAACGTAGAAGGTAGCTGTTAACTTGAAAACTACCACTTCTAGACATGACAAGGTGGAGCAGAGCATTTTGAGTTTTGGAGATGTAGACAGATTAACAATGCAGGATTATTCAAACATGTGTGAATGAAACAAAACACAACTCCAAGTTTTGGTGGTTTTGATGAGGTAACAACATTCTAACATGGCTTAAAGTTCACAGGGGTCAATTTGCCATAATTTAAGATCTTTAAATTAGAATTAAATAAATTTTTCTTTAAAGGAGCAAATTAATAATAATAATAATTGTAACTCTGCTTTTGTTCGAGTTCAAAATAACTACAATATATTGACTACTTTTTTCTCACTCACTGAATTATTGAATATAATAATTGTTGAGAAAATGAGTAAACCAAGTAAAGTTTGTTGCTATGTTCCACCTTGAGTGCACATGTAGTGTGGGTGTGAGAAGAAGCAATGGGACAGTGAGAGCAGCAGCCTGGGCCTGTGGGAGTGCATGTGTGTTTGGGAGGGGTGTCAACACAACACAATCTGCCCATATCACCACGGTAACCCACGGATCGCCAACATACTGTGCACCTCTTCAAACTGTAAATGTCCACATATAAAGTATCGGGATCAATCATTTATCTATTTTATCTATCAATCTGTCTATCTACCTCTACAAAATCACCCACAAAGTTTACCTTGGACTAAATGACTCATCCGACCGCACACAACACCCTTTAACTTTCTTTTTGTGAATCACTACATTTATTTGATTACACTGACTAATGGAAAAACTAATAGAAGGCCACATCCTCACATTATTAAATAAATGCAAATACGATTCTCATGATGTTTCCTTCATGTGGTCATAATCCTCTGTTTTTGTGTTTTGGTGTGTAGCCATGGTAATATTTTGGGAACTTTTTTGAGGTAGTTCTGTAGAGTCTTAAAGGTCCTAGAGTATATTGCGCAAAATTGACTCGTGTCAGAATGTCTTAGAATGTCTTGTTTCCTCATCAGTCGTGTTTTGTTTCATTCAATTCATTTATTTGAGTAACCCTTTATTATTAGTCTGTCTACATCTCCAAAGCTCAAAATGCTCTATTCCACCTTGTGATGTCATCTAGTGGTAATTTTCAAGTCAACAGACCATGCATTACAGATCGATGTGATAATGTCACACTCCCAGATGAGCAAGAGCCAGATTTTTCTTTGATTACATTGTACTTTCCTAAGAAATATCCAAAGCGCAAATTCACAGATGCTGAAATTCCTAATAATAATAATTCCTCTAGGTGAATAAACCCTAGAACTCACAAGTCTGCATTTTAACAATTGCCCACATCTGTATGAAATATTACAGCCATAGGTACATGTCCTAACGCTAACCTCTGGTCCCCTGCTGTCTCATCAACTGACTTTATGTTGTCTTTTAGTACAGTCATAAATCTTATGGTGGCAGCTCTAACCTCAGTGTCCACTCATATGCCCCTGCCATGTCTTACTGTTACATGAGAAGCATCCCTGGCATTGGGTATTAAAATAAAATGCCCAAGTGAAGCAGTTGCTGTTTGTTTATAACTGGATACATTCACTGTTGCATAATCTCCCAGTCAAAATTAAGACTAAACTAGAACTTAGACCAGAGTAGACCAGAACAAAACCAGGACTAGAGTAGAATCAAACCAAGACATGTGTAAACACACCTTTAGTCATTTGCCAGAATATAGTATTGTAGAGTCTCCCTTTCCTGTGTCCTCATCAGTAGTTTGCAAAATTTTTGTATTCATTTTTACATTCGATTCGGAAACATTAAAATGACTCTAAAACATATTAGACTCTCCATGTCACATATAAATGATTAATGACCAAGTCTCAAAAATCAAAATGAAGCTGTATAAAGCCTAGTTAATTCCCCATGTTATTTTATGCAATTAAACAGTGCACAGTAAATTAGCCTTGAGACTCCACTGCCGCAGATACAATAACTCTTGGTGATATTGATTATAACTTGTAAGCCTTATTTCTTATGGGACATTCCGTTCAACAGCACAGATGCTTATATAGAAGCTTAGCACAGTCCAATGACATCATCTTTGGCACTCTGTTATGTTTACGAGCAAGCGCTATCAAAACACCAGCCGTAAAAATAGTGTGTATTTGTGCATTGCTGTTGGACTCACCTTCCTCTTGACGAACTGAAAAGCTGAGCACTTTTTGAAGGAGAACGCCGTCTTGTCCCCCCCCTCCGGATCCCCCAGCGCTGCCACCTCCCACCCCGTTCATCAGCTTCATGGCCGCCACCGGCACTCCGCTAGTCTCCGTAGATCCCAGGGTGACGGACAGTGGGCTGGTGAGGAGCACAGAGGAGAAATAAAGAGCAAGGGCATCAGGAGCGGAGCGTGTTTGAGTCAGAGGAGGAGAGGAGAGCGGGACAGGGGAGAGAGGAGAGATGCTGCTTATGTACGGGGCATGTGTGGTGCTGAGGAGAAAGAGAGAGAGAGAGGTGGAGGAGGCAGATGGACCAAAATGTGAGGGGGTGAAGCTGTGATCATGACAGCAACTGTAAAACAAGATTGTGAAATGTGCATATGCTGTCTTATGTGATTTTGAATTGGACTGACCTAAAGTGCTGACTTTTATAGATGTTGGATGGGGTGTTGTTGTTTCACTATAGATTATCTCTACGCATCTTCTTTGGTCTTTCTTTATGTATGACTTCTACACATATGTGCAATTTCTCTCTTTTCTAATCTGCTAGTCTAACCCCAAAACAAGTAACTTTTTGATTTGTTCAATTTTGTCCATCTTGTTCATTTAAAAGCTGGAATTAAAAATCATAAATTCCATTTCCCCTGGCTTGGTAGCGACCTACTGGTTTGTGATTTTGTTACTTAAGGACAATAATACTAACAATGGTCTGTGAAAATAATATCAAATTGTAAAATTGTCACATAGACAGAATGTAGTTTTTGGATACCTTAACTCTTGTAATTAGGGAGAAAGCATAACATACAGGTTAGAACTGTAGCTTGGTGACAAGTCCTGTTGCTATTGTGGCAAATGTACTCCTCTGTTTACAGTCACTATGCCACATTGCATCATGGGACGCTGCTGAGCTGTGACAAGTCTATTTTAACCTTTATGCATTCACGCTCTTATGTATAAATCATGTTTCACGCATTCCTCCTACCTTTGTACCTTTGTGCTGGTGATGTTGGCTGTCTTCTCAGCAGACGATGCGATGATAAGTCCCGTTAGTTACAGGTGTCCCAGATTTGAGTCAGCGCGAACGCTGCTGTGATGCTGTCCCATAAGAGCTCTGCACAAAGTGTGACTGATGTCGCGCTTGAAGCGGGATTACTTTGGCGCGAGTAGTTTCAGCGCGTAAACAAACAGAGAAAGTGCATGATTTAGCATGACGCCGAGGTGATGGTCCCAGAATCACAGCAGCAGCAGCATCTCTATTTTATCAATGAAAGCCTCTGCAGTGAGCAGATGCGGTGCCCCTCCCCGTGCCTCTCTCTCTCATCTGAGCTGTCCGTCAGAAGCTCTAAGCCCCGCCCCCTTTCCTCCTCTCGCTCTGCTGCAGTCGGACAGTGGCTCCTCCCACTTCTCAGCCTGCTCACCTCTGTCCTGAGGAGACTTGCAGTAGACATAGATGCTCAAAATGAGTACATATATAAACAAATATGTTACAGTTTAATACAAAGTTATATCAACAATGCCATTCATTTTGCCTTGTAGGACATAAACATTATTCCCGTCTAGCCTCAAATATAAGCCTAATCACTCTTTTGAGTGCCTTCATTAGTGACTGAAATGGACCTTCAATAGTCCATTTAAATGTTCTCTGATTGACACTCTAATTCCAGTTGGTTTGATTCATTATCACTGACCTTTTGCTCACTGCAGTTGAAGTCCAGTGGCTGTAATTTTGTTGCTAAAAATACATTCGGCTGCAAATGGCAAAACTTACCTAACACTGTTGTGGATCTGTGACATCTTCTCTGTGTGCCATTTTAAATTTTATTATAAAATCTGTAGTTGGAAGTTCAAGATGCCTGAAATATTCTGACAGATGAACACATCAAGTATGAATGAAACAAAACACAAGTCCAGATATGTTTTTGATGAGAAAACATGATCACGATTAAATAACATAATATAAGTTATATATAAAAAGCTGGGCAGAGTAAAGTGTTCATTCATTTATTAATTCTATGCTCCAGGTTGACACTGGTGCTCACAGAGACCACATCCTTCTCAAATTAAAATGCTTATTAATACGGCTACTATCAATTAATATGCTATTAAGACCATGGTTGATTGCACTGCTATTCCAAACACACTGCCAGCTCACTCCTTGTTATCTGGCCTACATCATCAAAGGTTATAATAGTTCCTACAACAAAAGCATAGCCAATGGACAATGCTTCAATAGGTTGAGCGCTGAAGTCCTTGAATCCTGTACTGATGGTAAATGAACTTGCTTTAGATATCCAGTGTCCTGCCTCTCTTTAGTTCAGTTATTCTACAACAAATGCCCCTCTCATCAGACTGTGGGCTAAATTGCTGGTACTCCACACAGAGGAAGATACAATTCTCCTTTTGGGAAAAACAATGACGATGCAAAAGTGGCTGTAATCAGAGCCAGTGAGAGGCACAATTAACACTCACTCTGTGGCAAAGTACAATGATTGGTGTAAACAGCTCGGCACCACAGGCCCCACTTTAACATATTGTTCTATTTGAAGCAACACTTATGATCATGGAGCAATTATCAATCTTTTTATGTGGCTTTGTTTGGTATACTTTTGTTTAAGAAGGCATCAAACAACTTCACCAAGGCTAAATGACTGTAGTGTTAATTATTGCTGTATTAAATCTCTTATGTAATTAAAAAAAAAAAAGAAAGTTGTGATTTTGTGTCAGGCAGTGCAGTCTCTCCAGTTAAACCCAATGGGAAATAGTTTAAAAACATTGAAATATATCTTCTCTTGGAAATGGCCCCAGGTGCCATAGGCCAACAGGAAGTACCAACTTATATAATAGCAACAATCCCTCTTTTTTACTTGGAGACTTTAAATGATTCTGTAATCCCCCAAAAGGCTTTGTAAGGATCTCTCACTCCTCTTGTGAATTTCAATGCACACCACAGACTTAAATAATTAATATGTCTGACTCTTAAATAGTTCTGGGAATTGCCAAAATGATAGCACAGTCTATAATTTATGGATGTTTCTCAAAGCAACTCCAACATTAACAAGCCTTTAAGAGCTTAATGCTACGAACATGTGAGGTTTATGTAAAGTAGTCTGTTTTAAAACACGTTGGAGAGTGCTAACTAAACTAAACTTGCTTTCTGGTCAGTGATAATGAGGTCCACTGGGTTTTATTTGGACCGTATACAGAGCTGACCTAGTGTACAGCACAAAAAGACCTAATCCCTTCTAGCCATCCACTCAAACAGCTTGACTTGCTTCTTGGAGGAAGTGGTTCACTGCAGACTGTAAAGCCTAAAGAATGGAATACATTTCAGTGTGTGGGTAGCTCCATTTAAAAGAGAAATACATTCTAAAACTGAGGTGTCATGGGCTTATGTTATGTAATAATGGGCATGCCAGAGGTCACTGTGCCGTGGATTCATAATAATATGCTGATTCATGGAGCAAAGAGCAATGACCATATATAGTGTTTTATGTAATGTATACATGCTTATTTTGCCTATGACTAAAGCATTTTTGATATTTAAATGGAAAATTTTATAGCCTAGTATTTTCTTATTTTATTTTTTAAAGATCCTACATTACGCAAAATTGCCTAAGCTTTAAGTCATGTTAGAATGCTGCTATCTCATCATAAACATACCTGGAGTTTCATTCCCACATTTTTGAGTAAACCTTTATTAGTAGTCTGTCTACATCTCCAAAGCTCAAAATGCTCTGTTCCACCATGTGATGTCATGAAGTGGTAGTTTTCAAATTAAATGAGCTTTTACTTTTTGTTCAGTAGCGATAGGCATTTCCAGGGCTGAAATTACCCAAATGATTCTAGCGAAGGTGTATGGAGTTTAAAAACACAGTGGAGTACTGCCTGTGTTACCACATGACATCACAAGGTGGAACAAAGTATTTTCTGTTTAAGAGAAGAACTCATCTTAAATATGCAGAGTTTGTGTGTTAAACATGTGAATGGAACAAAACACAACTCCAGATATGTTTGTGATGAGGAAAAAACATTATAACATAGATCAGAAAATAATAATGTAATATGGGCCCTTTAGAACAATATTATTTATTTTTAAAAAGAAATAGAAAAAAAAGAAATCCTGTCATTGAAACCCCAGTGAGTTAAAGAAGCTACATGGGCCCACACTTAAGGCAGTCCTTGAAAGTCCATACCAGGCACTACCGTAGCTACCAATAAAAATGATTGATTATATTTTAGATTCTAAAACACTAAGACTGCATTAACTGCTCTGCAAGATATATGGCTGCACCTCATTTCACCTCGTCACTGACTGTGGGGTAAAAAGAGGTAAGGCAGTTTAGTGTTGATGTTAAAGCATTATGCAAAATGAATACTGTATTATGTTGTTCAATAATTAAGCCTCTGTGATGGGATTCTAGCATTAGCAGGAGAAAGCAAGTGTAGAGTGAGTGAGAATAATTGGCTACATTCTACAAAGAGAATTAACAAAGCAGCTCATTGACCAACAAAGTAACTCACACCATTATGTTATCAATATTGTTAGGCCTACAGTGGAAATGTCACTGTTTATGTTTACCATAGTCATATATTGTGATTGGAAATAGTGTTGGGAAGAATACCCAAAGTTAGATACAGAATACCAAATACTTGCATTAAAATGTATTCTGTAATATATTCCCTTATGGTCCTATCAGAATACTGTATTATGAATTACTTTCAGATACTTTAACTATGTGCATTATAATACAGAGTAAAAGATGGAAATGTAAAAATACACATGCACTCTCCAAATTAAAAGTTACTGTATCAAAATACTGTTGTCAAAATTAATATTTTGAATATGTATACTCTTCCCGACCCTGCACAGTTTTTGATTCTGCCATTCAGGTCACTACTACAATAGTAGTATAAAAGAAGTGGACTAAGGGAGGGTGACGTCACGCATAGCGTTTGACTGCAGTCAAATGACGCTCACTATGCTAGCGGTTATGAGGGCAAATTTGGAGCTGTGTTCCATGTTAGCAACAGGAATTGATTTATTGAGAAATAAAACTGAGAAATAAAAACACCAGGATCATGTAAAGCAAGTTAATACG